AACCGAATATCACTATGCTAGAACTCTGCTTGAATAACTATTCAAACTGAAATTCTAGCTCGTGTTCAAAATTACGCTCAAAATCGAGCAGTTCGAAAAAGCTCGGTTCAATAACCAGTCCTAAGCTAAATCTTTTGTGTGCAGTATTTTTACTGCTTAGCCCACCCCACTTTTCATTCCTGGATCCGCCCCTGACATGGTGAGATACTAGACTTGTGTCCAATGATTTGCATGGTAGATTATGGATGTATCTCTTGTTCCGCTAGAAGTCCATGAAGTATCATAAACAGGCTAATTTCGTTGGACACAACGTGGAAATAAATTGGACACAAATGATGTGCATGTGTTTGATGAATATTACTTGGGTCATCTTACTTCGTATAAATCTAAAAGATATAGTATGAAAAATAGCAGTATGTTTCCATAAATTCTAGCGGAACAAGATATAATAAAAATAACAAAAACAGATGTATGAAACCTAATATTTTATCCTAGAAGAAACTTTACAAAATAAAACAGTTTATAGAGAATTTACCCTAAATAGGTCTAATAACGTTTGTATATTCCAAAATAGGACTATCATGTTTTTATTCCCAAAATAGGACTAATTACTGCCATGTTTTGGCAGTACTAGACTCAAAACATAGTAGTATTTTTCAAACTTGACAATAATTACTCTTATTTTTGGAATAAAACATGACAGTTCTATTTGGGAATTTTCAAACTTCTTTATTCCTATTTCAAACTTCTTTATTCCTATTTTTTGAATATTCGATCAGTAGTACAAGTATAAAAAATTACAGAGACGAAAGATATATGTGAAGATTTTATGCAGGAAAGAACTCAAAATGAAGAGAAAAATTGGAGTAGAAAACAATAGAGGCCGTTTGGAATCACTGTTTTTCGGCTTATCAGCCAACCTTTTCATCAAACACGTAACTTTTGTTTTTGCGCGTTGAATTGTATAATAAGCAGAAAAAGTAAGGTTTGAGTTACTTTTCTGGCTGTTTTGGCTGAAATTACTGTAGATGATCATCTTAGCTATTTTTACATATAATTTTTTCTTTATTTGATTAATACAATATATTTTAAAAATAATTTTTTCTTAAATCAGCAGAATCAGCCAATGCAGACACTTCAGCCAGAATTTCATAAATTTCAGCAGAATCAGTCAAATCAGTCGATTTTCGTGCTACCAAACGGAATCTAACTAGGGGATGGAGATGATGGATTTATTGAGCTGCTTTAGTAATTATGAGTATCCATAAATGCACGCATAAATCATACTCCACACTTGATAGTTCGTACTTGGTACTACAATATATACGGAGTATTATGCTTCACCCGAATAGAGAACATTAGAAAAGGATTTTCAATTCATTTAATGTACGTACTATGAGATGATATTAAATGTTTAATTAATACCCTGATCAATATACAAGCCATGTTGCTATCTTGGTAAAACAAAAGGAAAGTCATTCTCCACTACATACGTACGCAGTTGAATCCGAGAGATTTACTAGGTATGATTTACTTTTTACTCTTAGCTGGTAGATTAAAGGGAAAAATAAATAAAATACACCAAACTTTCAAGAGGTGTGAGATGAACATCTCAAATTTGTATATGTAATTCAAATATCCCAAACTTTATATAAATGTAAATCTATGGAGTTAAATATTGCATAATTTAAAATAGTAAATTAAAAATATTGCAATTATATAGATTGGGCGTAACATAATTTATTTCTCAATGGAAGTTTAAAATGTAAATTGTGTCTTCATGAATCCTAAAATATTTTAAATTATGCAATTAACACTTTAAATTTACATTTTTGAAAGAAGTAGTACATGACAATAGTGCAAAAATGATTTTTTATATAAAGTTTGGGATATTTAAATTACATATGCAAGTTAGGGCTGCTTACCTCACTCCCCGTCAAAGTTTGGAGTATTTTTATTATTTTTCCCTAGATTAAATGAAGACATGATCGTCTTTTAGGAGATGCAATAGGTGTTTGGAACCGGGACCCACTCTTGTAATGGGCCTTTAGAAATTTAAAATGTAGTATTTGGTATATGTTGATTTTTCTAGATGTTATGTACGGAGCATTATTCAAGATTCCAAAAGGTATATAATGGTTAGATTCTCTAATTATAATTTGTGTACTTTAAACATCATAAAATTTATATTTTATTGAATTGTCTAGTCTATTTGTATTTCATTGTAAAATTTGGTATTCCAAAAGGGGACCTTAATTTGTCATTTGAAATAGGGGCCTCCAAATTCATCAGGTCTAGACGAGGTTATGATATTATTACCAGTATAGTCCAATTATAATGTGTGTTTTCTTTTATGGCACAATTATAATACATGTAATGAACTAAATTATATTACAGTGTTATTTGGAAATAAATAATGATAACTATATATTAAAATGTCCAACTAACTAATTAAACTAAATATAAAACCGTAATATAAATGTAGTCTCTAACCAGCATAGACACTAACTTATACTCCCTTCATCTCCCTTATATTGTCTCTTTTTACCTTTTCGGGAAGTCCCACTAAAATTGTCATATACCATATCTGGTAATGTTTGTGTGGCTCTAAATCATTCTTACTTTACTCTTGGTTTATCAATTAATACCAACCACACAAACTCACTTTTCTTAATAAACGTGTCACCCTCTTCCGTCCCAATATATAAGGGACGGATGTAGTATTAAATATAAGCAATAACTTAACTTATATTCAATACATTATTAACAAATGTTATTATGTTAGTGAACTAATCATTATAATTGAAAAATATTAGATGTGGTTAAATTAATTAAGGGCTATTCAACGTAAATTAATTATAATTTAGGAAACGGTACAAGTAATTATAAATTGTGAACTAATTATTTCTTTTAATATTTATTTAGTATGACTATATCAAGTATCTTAATAACAATCAAAGATTAATTACATAGTCGGAGTAGTATTACTATTAAAATTTTCTAAATATTGAGATTAACATAATAAAATCAGTACAAACATGTAATTGCAAAAAAATAAAAAAATATTATTAAATTTCTAACCTCAATCTGAAGAAACAAAAAATTAAAATCAGCAAGAACACTCAATAATTTTGTCTAGTTGAATTTGTTTTTTTTTTTGTACTATTTTAAATTTGATGTTGAAGGTATTTAAAGAGGTAAATGTTGTGATTGGAGGGTGCACTACCATACATAATTGAAGGGTTGAGATATTTTTCATAAAATCTTAGGGCTGAAATAGGGAATGGGAAGCACAATCCGTGTGCTTCTCAATTGGCCAATCAGAGAGCAGTTTCTTCGAGTTACTGGATCGAGCTGCGCACCAACAAGTCGGATTTATCTAATCCGAGTTTTCTAAAAAACCTTGACACATGCACTAACTTCTAATCTCAGTTTAGTTGCTGAGATTCGAATATTAGACCTACCTTTTATGACATCTTTTATGTACCAGCTAGTTGGGATACGCCTTCTGGCATCCCGTACTTATAGGCATTGCTAGCTATGTGGTTACATAATAAGCAAACAAGTATTGGATGGATCGTGTGCAAGAGTATATTATGATAGTGATGGATAGAGATGGACATGTCGCGGGTCGGGACTGGGTCCGGGTTGGGCTTAGGACGGGGCCCAGGTATTGAAAACGGAGGCCCAGAATCGGACCGCCTATGTTCCGGGACCGGGCCGAGCCAGGTAATGTATTTTTTTGGGTTTTTCTTATTTATTCTTACCCCCCACCCCCACCCCACAAACACCCCCAAATCACCCAGCCCAACCCAGTACTTACCCAAACCATTTGAAAAAACCAAAAAAATAAATAAATTGGGCCCGGGCCGGTCCCAGACCGGTACCCGGCCAAGTGGGCTGCAGCGGTGCAGCCCGATCCCGCCCCAACCCCCCCCCCCCCCCCAGGTCTAGGGTCGTCAAAGGCCCGGTCCCGATCCCGGTCAACCGATCTGGGCTGGTCCCGCACAGTGGCGGTCCGGTCCGTGTACCGGGCCGGTCGGACCAATCTCGGGCCACCCTTAGTGATGGACGGGGAGGGTGTTATTGGGATTGAGGAAGTTGGGTTAAATCCCTAATCCCACTTGGGGTTGTAGGCCGTTGAGAGGCCATTTTCAATGCTTCTATTTTTATTTGTTCCTTTTTGTGGTAAGACTTTCCATTTTGTCTTACACGGTTTACCTCTTCCCATCTCTATATATTAATTGAACTTTCACATATCAAGGAACACGGTGCCTATAAGCTATCCTATAGCTATGGTATATCACACAAATCCAGCTGGTCACTTGACAAGTATTTACTATAGATAATCCACGAACAGAAGTACTATACTATGTGGCCAAATACTTCCTCTCCCATTTTATATGACACGTACACTTTCTTTTTAACTTCTCCAAAAAATATTACTCCCTCCCTACCATTTTGATGGTTTGATTGTGATTTAGGAAGTATGATCAATGACAAAGCAAACGAATCCTTATCTAGACTCAAATTATTTTTAATAAATAAAATCCACATATTCTAAAACTACATTAAAAGGTTTTGATTTACAAAGTCGCAAAAAGAAAAAAAAATCATAAAAATTTGATATATGGAATAAACCATTAATAGTAGTGATTTGTATGGACTAATGGAATATTAGAAGTAAAAGAGCGATTATATTTTACATTATTACGAGAGGGGACTAGGGAAGTATAGTGCGGAGTAGTAAATAAAAGTGAAATAATGAGGTCTTCTAATGACATACGATAATGATGAGACAGTGAGTCAGTGACAATGACATCTTTTCATGCATACTCCATGCATATCCATGTATGCATTCTACCCTTAACCTAATTACGTGTATATATCTAAAGTTGCGTATGAATTTTTGTCTCTTTAATTACCAGTTTTAAATGACTTCTCACTTACACCTCCTATATAAAGCCAAAGGCCAGCAAATTTAATTTCATTCAGCTCATCAAATATTCAATAATTAAGCCTTCTTCCCTTCACGCAAATAAGCTTTCTCAGCTCGATCTTCAACTCGTTCCCGGTCGCATTCTTCAACTCCTTTGCCGCACTCCAAGGGTAACCTCCATTAACGTCCATCTCTTTGTCTTTTTAATAATGTTTTCTGGTCTAATGTTTTGTTTTTGACAGTGGACGTCTTTAGCTCTCCATTTTTTCCTTATATTTTTTAGTTACATTTTTCTTGCACGCAATCCTAAATGATAAATTTTTTATTTTTTTAATATGGAGTATAATATTATTACCCAGTATTACGTCCTTGCATATAACGTACATGGTATTTTATTTTGTTTTGTTATGCTATTTTTAAATTAAAATAATACTTTTACTACGTACAATTAATTGATTTTATGCATACGTTTTCTGTGCTACCGATCGAACGGAACGATTGCAGCATACTTATTTAATCACATTTTTATTTAAAAATGATTTCAATTTGTCATTTATATGTACTAAATGACTTTTATTCTACCTCCTACTTACGCAAAGGACAATGACATAGGTTTTTTTATGGAGAATCGAAAAAATTGTATAGGGTAAATAAAACATAAAGATCGAAAAGTAGAAACTTAGAACAAGTAAGAAAAAGAACATAAGGAAAACAAAGGAGAAGTAGAATATAGAGGAATTAGATTGGTTAAATATTAAATACTCGTATTAAATACGGAATATTATACACTCTAGTATTAAGAAATGCTTGATTACTTATTTTGAAATTTACTTTTAGTTTATAAATTTACTTAATAAGTATATACTAATATACAACGTTCACTAAATGTAATTTGATATCTATTTCTTTAATATTTATTTCATATCAATCTTGATACAACGTTCACTATATATGAATGTAGCTATACTACGGAGATTGATGAGATTGACATAAATTGATACTGGCATATACGAAGTGTATATCATCAACTAGTAAATACGAAGTACTTGGCTACTAAAGCAGCTCCCATCCCATATTCCCATGCATGCCCTATATATGGAGGAAAGGACGGATTTACGGGAGTTTTTTGCATCCATTCCCAAAATACGAATGTCAGGTTTATTGTATGAATATAGGGGAAACGTGGGTAGCTAATCCGACTTCTGTAGGGTTTTGTGGGAGCCTTTACATTTGAGCGCAACAACAAAGTTGAGGTGGGGCAGATTGTCAGTAGCAACATTTTCGGATTAAAGGAATCCGAAATTTCGTTTTCATTGTTTCATTTAAAGTGGGGCAGACTTGGTGTGGCTACAGTTGAGGAATCCGAATTTTAGTTATATTTTGTTTTGGGTGGAGAGTTGGGATGTTTTCTTTTGGACCGAAATTTGCTGGTCTGGTCTGGTCTGTTTAAGTGTGGTCTGGTCTGGTCTGGTCTGGTCTGGTCTAGTCTGAATTGGTCTGGTCTGGTCTGGTAAACGTTTGGTCTCTGTGTATTTTATAACTACGGAAGTCCGGTCTGGTCTGATCTGTTTAAGTCTGGTCTGGTCTGGTCTGGTCTCTTTAAGTGTGGTCTGGTCTGGTCTGTTTAAGTCTGGTCTGGTCTGGTGACTGAAAACAGTCCAAAAGAAAACATCCTTGGTCTTTCCGATGACGGACGACGTTACGGCATCCTCACAACAAATCTTTCCGAGAGCTTCAATAACGTCCTAAAGGGATGTCGCACACTTCCAATTACCGCGCTTGTTAAGGCGACTTATAACAAAGTTGTGCAACTATTTGCCGACCGACGTAGGGCTGGTCAGATGTGGCGGCAAGCTGGGTTCCGGTATATCCGCAAAATATATGGAAAGATATTCTTGAACGTTCGCAGCAAAGACATCGGTGCACTATTGTCCCGCATAACCTATCAACGGGAATATACTCTGTTTCCATCAATGATTATCCGCCAGTAACCGTAAATCTCTCACGTTGCGAATGTGATTGCGGTTTTTGGAAGCAGAATGGATTTCCATGTGTTCACGCCTATGCGACATGTCATTTCTTAGAAATAACTGTTTATCATCTCATCCCGGACGTGTATAAATTAGGTGCGTACATCCGTACGTATGCTTCGGATATTATGCCTATGCATGATGTAAGTGCGATGCCTGATACCGGATATTTAGTGATACCGCCTCAAAGTGCTAGGCGCGGTCAAACCGGAAGACCTCAAAGGACCAGATTTACAAATGAAATGGATATGCGCCCGAGTAGGAGAGCACAAGAGTAAAAATTTATATGTATTCTGTAACTCTTTTTCAATGAATAAATATGTGTAATTCTTTGTCATGTTGTTATTCAAGAAGAAATAAGCAATGAAATATTAATACTTTTTTTGCGGGAACATTGAATAACTTCGTAATACAATATCATTAAATATGTATATTCACTAATACAATCTCTAACCTAACAATTGATTATTTCTTATTTAATAAAATAATACATATCTTTGCAACTATAAATATCACTAAATCATTTAGTTTTGTACTAATTATGCTTCATATGCTCTATTATTTATCCCACTCAAAATTTTTTATTGAATTATTTGTGTTTTTCTCTTTGAAAACAAAAAGAAACTAAACGTACAATCCCAAAAAACTTAAGAAATCTTTTAATAGAAAACCTACTGAATAAATGCACTCCCGTAAAAGAAACCTACTGAAGCCCACTCAACTAAATCATTTTGCGCAAAGCGAAAAAAATTAAACCCCATTATCGGATTCCAGGAATCTATTTTTCAACTTTCCCTACCACCCTACAAAAACCCTACAAATTTCGGATTACACAAACACGATTCCCGTTTTTTTTTTGTTTTAAACTCCCGCATTTTGGCAACTAATATAAAAGAAATTTATATTAAATTATTTGTATGTTTGAAAAAAAATAGTGTATGTAGCTAAACAAAACACGGAGTAATAATCTACTCATTATTTATTCCACGTACTTACTCAATCTGTACAAAGTAAGTTTAAAAAAAAAATTAAAACAACATTTCGGATTCATGGAATCCGTTTCTCAGCTTTCCCCAATCAACCCTACTATATTCGGATTAGCTAACCCCGTTTCCCGTATTCTCAGAAACCCTAAAAATTTTCCCGTATTTTGGAAGTCCATCACGTCCAACTTATAAAGCAGCCAACGCCCAATTCATTTCATTCACTTCACTTATTATACATACAATTACATACTCCTAAGTATACTACTACTCCGTATAAATTTATACTATCTACATACTAGTACTATGTTAATTAAACTCCAAAGAAATATACGGAGTACATACTACAGTACTATATTGAAACCCAAAAAGTATTTATACTATACAACTGGGTTGATAAGTTTTAATATGGTGAAACCGAGAACAAAACTACACAACTTGAGTCAATTCCATTAATTGTGGTCTGTTTATGTTGAATTTGGTGCGTTTTAGCACGGTTCGGTCGGGTTTTTAACCCAAAAGCATAAACGTAAACCGAACTGCTTAGTGGTTTGTCAACTTTAATAGTTTCTGATTTCATTCGGTTCAGTTTGGGTCGATTTCGTTTCGATTGGCTTGTCGTGGATTGGTTTTTCTTTTTTGAGGTTTTCGTTCACCCCTAATATGTTACGTACTCCATAATATATTAATGTTGCGGAAACGATTACATCCTTATTAATAATATCATTTTTTGCTAAGTACTACTCTTACTATATATGCGCACCTAAATCATTCTTCGTACTCGGTACTGCAATATATTATGCTTCACCCTAATTGAGAATATTAAAAAAGGTTTTTCAATTCATTTAATGTACTATGAGATGATATTAAATGTTTAATTAATACACTGCCCATACTATACCCTGATCAATATACAAGCCATGCTGCCATGTTGGCACTACAAAAGGAAGGTCATGCTCCACTATATATGTACGCGGTTGAATTAGAGAGATTTACTACGTATGATTCACTTTTTACTCTTACGTACCTTGTAGATTCAATGAAGACCTCAACGACAATGCTGTGCTGCTTCATTCTTTTTGCTGCTTATCTCGTTGGCACCTCAAAGGCGGAAAAAAATGTGACCACGATTTTAATTAAGAGTGCTATTGCTGATGGAGCCGGTAAAATACTTGACCTTTTAAGTGCGTGTATAGATTTTGTTATACTGAGGTTTTGAGGTTGATTGTTAGAAAGGTTACATCTTTCAGATAATATAATACTGAAGTGTGTTTAAAAAGAAAAATACGTAGTAGATTTTACAAATAACTTTAGAAATGAGGGACTAGAATTGATTAAGCTTACCACTCTCCTATTAGAGGCTGTAGTTGCGAACTTGCGATTTTGCAAAGTTAAAACATGATCATTTATTTCATAATGGGAGCGTAAGATAGTGAATACACTAATACGTAGTATTTCATTATAGTCTGTCTGGACGGAAGTCCACCGGCATACAATTGGGATGCAGGTCATGGATCTAGTGCACACAATTGGTTGGTTCACCTGGGGGTGAGTTTTGTATAATTAAGTTATAATTGAAATTATAAAAAATACAATAGTACATTTCTTCTTTATAAGTTTGATTAATTTGAGATTTTTTCCAAATTAGGGAGGGGGCTGGTGCTTGAATAGCACCATATACGAGCACCACAAGGAGGCCTACGCCGGAAGCTGCATTAAGCGTGCCGAAACAGATATCGGGTCTTCCTTCCGCATGAGTGACCATTACCCCTTCAACGGTATATTCAGTGATAAGAAAAATGACACTTATTTTTATAATTGGAACCGTGTCATCGTAAGATATTGCGATGGCGCATCATTCTCCGGAGATGTGGATCAACCGGATCCGGTATGTGTGTATTCTATTCGTTTGATCTTTTGATATGATTATCTAAAATAACACTGCAATTTTTCATGCACTTGGATTTGATTCACTTTTTAATACCAGGAAACAAAGCTCTTCTACAGAGGAGCAAGAATTTACAAAGCTGTCATTAATGAGTTAATGGCGAAGGGCATGAAAGACGCGCAAAATGTAAAAGTTTCGAACTTAGGCTTTTTTATTAAGTTATAATAAATTCAATTTATTGATCAAAGTCCTGATTTTGATTATTTTTTCACATGTCATGTATGTATATTTTTTTGCAACAGGTGATCCTTGCTGGAGGTTCTGCAGGGGGAATAGGTGCAATGATTCACTGTGATCATTTTCGAAGCCTATTCCACCCCAGTGTGAACGTCAAGTGCTACGCAGATAGCTCTTTTTTTCTGAAGCTGTAAGATCGACATATATATTTTTAATTCAGAATTAGATTTCTTAGTTCATCAATAAAGTAATTGTGTTTATGATTTTGTATTAGCAGGAAGGATCCCAAACATGCCAAGTACTTCAAGACTGTTTTTGGCACAGTTGTTGAGTTGCAGGTGATTAGTGAAAAGCTAGCCCCCCATGCACGCATGGACTAATAATCCGTATTATTTGTGATATCATTCATAGTTAAAATTAAATTTTGGGTTATTACATACTCCGTAATTTATATGGGTTGCAGCAAGTCGCGAAGGCACTACCGGCTGAATGCATATCCAAACGGAGTGCAGCATCGGTATATATATACATATATTATGTAGTATATTATTTAGTTAATTGTAAGTTGAATTCGATTAAATCTTAAATTATAATTAAGTATGCAATATTACTTATAACTCCGTGCGCGCAGTGCTTCTTTCCAAAACACTTGGTGAAGTACATAAAGACTCCAATTTACTTTTTGAATTCGGCGTTTGATTCGTATCAGGTTAGCTCCTTGCACCTTATTGCATGCTATTATGTAGTACGGAGTACGTATTATTGTTATTGTTATTATTATTATTTATAGTATTATTATTACTCGTATCATTATTATTATTATTAAGTACTTATAATAATTTTGATTTGCTTGCAAGATACGGACTACCTTTTCTGAACGCTTACACGAACGGATAGAGAAACATACAGTGACTCCAAGTGATATGAAATTGCTCAGAAGTAAGTTTTTATTTTCAATATTTGTACTTTATTAACACAGCATATACGAAGTTTTACGTATATTACATAAATATTGTCCTTTTTTACAGCAGTGGTTCAATTGAAAATTTGAAACCCGTATACATTACTCAGCATTACGGCGTACTAATAATATTTAAAATCCATATGATGGATGGATTTTATACTCCCTCCGTCCCAATTTACTTAGTCAAACTTGTTTTTTCAAGTCAATGGTATCTAACTTTGACTGATTATATATCTATATAGAAAAAATATTAATAATATAAAAATTATATGAAAATGTTCTTTGTTGAAAATACTATTATAAAAGTATAAATCATTAATTTTTTCATAAATATATTAGTTAAAATAATTGGTCAAAGTGTACCATCTTTGATCGGAAAAGTCAAGATTAACTAACTAAATTGGATGGGACGGAGGTAGTATAAGACTTAATTTGTGAATGATATATATTAACTTTTAGTCAATGGGTTTTGAAAATATATTTTGTAAGAGCTAGTCCAAAGATTTAGGGAAGATTTATCATTTTATGAAAGCATTGCTAATAAATGAGATTCCCATATCATGTTCATATGATAAATATTTTCTCATACATACTACACGTATTTACACCCCACCTTATCAAATTAATTAAAGGATTATTACGACATATGGAACCAAACTAAAAATGAAGTCATATACGTACTATGTACGTAGATTATTAAGTTTATATATACCTGCAGTATAACATAATAAATCTTCTTTTTACGATAGGATTCAAAAATTAATTAAAGGGAAAGTTCCCGAAATGGGACCAAAAACGTTTGTAAATTCCAAAATATGATTATCATGTATTTATTTTTAAAATAGAAGTAATTACTGTCAAGTATGGAAAATACTGTCATTTTTAAAGTCTGGTACTGCCAAAACATGACAGTAATTAGCCACATTTTGGGAATTAAAAACATGACAGTCCTATTTTGGAATTTACAAACGCTTTTAGTCCTATTTTGGATAAATTCTCTTAATTAAACAATATACATGATATGAAACCGCAAATTATAAGCATATGTTCTGTTTATTGACAAAAAAAAATGTGATTTTGTAGGTTTCAGGCAACAACTAATAAACGCATTGCCTACCCCGTCGGCCACTAATGGGTATGTGGTCACTTCCCAGTTTGGCCATTCCTTCGGTCCGAAAAGTTTGAAGGTACCCATGTTTCCCCAAAACACAAAGTCAAAGGTATTCCCTCCATCTTTACTACTACGTACGTAGTATTTATTAATATGATGCATATTATTTTCAAAGACTTTGTCATCGTCCCTATAAATTCGAGACATGAACATTTATAAAGAAAGACAGAGCACATTAGTTAATATTACACCTTGGCGGCGTGGAACCTATGTGGGCCTCGAGCATTTTTAGAACATTGATTAATATACTACTCCGTATGTACTATGTATTTTATAGGAAAAACTGTCAATTTGATCCTCATACTTTCATGAAAAAGTCAATTAGATCATCATACTTTTAAACATATCAATCAAATCCCTTAACTTTGTAAAAACGTTTAGAAGAAAAAGATCAATATAAATTGAGTTGAACTTTAATTTGTAAAAACGTTCACAAAAAATTCATTATCCAATTATAGAGTTCATTGAGTAATGCTAATTTAAGGCCTCTATGCACTAAAACAGACATTATACGCAGTATTTGTTGTGATGGAGTGGTCATGCAATCTATCATTACAAAAAAAATCATTATCCAACTATACCGTTCATTCAGTTGTGCTAATTTAAGGCTTCTTTGCACTACAATAGATATTATATGCAGTATTCATTGGTATATAGTACTCGTGCAATCTATCATTTTGAAAAAAGCATTTTCTATTACAAACTGCACTCTACTAATTTCAATACTTTGTCCACCACATCAAGCATTATGTGCAGTATCGTGAACTATATCAACCATTTTATGCAATATCTATTCCCTGCAAAAATAACTCTCAAATTGGAGTCCATGGTAAAATGATGAGCGTTGAAATAATTTAAGGAAATGGAGAAAATAGGTGAATGGAGAGAATTAATAGAGCTTACCCAACCTAAAAATGGAAAAGAAAAATACGGTGCTGAAATAATGGGAGACAATTAAAGGTGATTGAGAAAATAAAATGAAATGCCTAATCCACCCTTATTGGTACAAGGGTGTACCAAGTGACCACAGATGAAATTAGTACAAGAAGATGCATCTTCTTGAAATAATGGGAGACAATTATTCATTTCAAACTAAAGCACAGTTTGAAATGCCTAAATTATATATATATATATATATATATATATATATATATATATATAGAGTCCTGATCCTGTCCAGACGTCCGGACAGGAACTGCCGTCCGGCCGGCGGCGTTTGGCCGCCTTCCCGGTGGAATTTTTTGATGAAATTTTTATGGCATGTTCTCCATCAAGTCTAGTTTATCCACAAAAAAATTCAGCCAAAAACTCAATCGGGAAGGTCGTCAAATGATTTTTGCAAGTTAACTGGTCCGGAAAATACATATTCCGGACCAGTTAACTTGCAAAAATCATTTGACGACCTTCCCGATTGAGTTTTTGGCTGAATTTTTTTGTGGATAAACTAGACTTGATGTAGAACATGCCATAAAAATTTCATCAAAAAATTCCACCGGGAAGGCGGCCAAACGCCGCCGGCCGGACGGCGGTTCCTGTCCGGACGTCTGGACAGGATCATTTGTGTATATATATATATATATATATATATCATTATATGAATATATGTCCATATCATAACTTTAAATGTTCTTTTCTGCCAGACACTAGAGGAGGCATTGGTTCAGTGGTTCTTTAATGAAGGAAGGTTTCACATTGTTGATCCCAACGATGAGCCATTCTGGAATGCTACAGCTCCTTGAGTGGTTCTTTGTTATGGCGTTTTTCTATTGTCATCTTTAAATGCAGACTACTTGAATATTGAGTGTTACATTAATTACCTCTCAGTACGTAGCTAGCTACTTTAATTAATTTATTCAGAAAATTCTACATATTTTTAATTATTAGAATTTCCACTCACGAGACGTACACATGCAGTTCGTAATTATAAATTTCTTGTGAATGATCATGACTACAGATACCATATCATGACAATAGGATATAATGGGCAAAATTAAATTATGTCAATTGTATAATATAATAATATATATGTACAAGAAGATGTACTGAACAAAACAAAGCTGAAACGCTGGCGAAGGAAAAGAACATAAATTAAAGGAAACTAAATGATCATTAGGTTCTAAATATTGAGCTCCTTTTGAGACATGTTTAATTTTAGGGCGGGTTTACATTGTCATTCGCAACATTTTATTGGAAGCTCGCCTTTTATGGGCATGTTGCCCGTTCACATGAAAATGAAGAGCCAACATGCCCATAAAAGGCGAGCTTCCAATAAAATGTTGTGAATGACAATGTAAATCCGCCAACTGCGCTTTTAACGGCACAGTTATCTTCAAGAATTCATTTGAATGCCTTCCCGATTAAAGTTTTAGTTCAAATTTGATATGAGTAAACTAGACTTAATGAATAAGATTCTCAAAAAAAATCATCAAAAAATTCCACCGGGAACCACCCCAAATGGCGTCGGCCGGACAGAGCATTCTAAATATGGCCTTATTTGACATTTTTTTTCAAGTTCGAGGCTCTATCTGACCCTTATCCCATTGGAAAAAGAAATACTCCGTATGAGTTTTACTGTTTTAGAGTGGATGCATGCAGTGGCGGAGCCAGAGGTTTTTCAAAGAGGGGGCTGGGCGTCCAGAAGGCTAATAATTATTATGTAATTGCTCAAAATATAATAAAAATATTAAAAGCGTATACGTTAGTACAATTTAGTTCAGGGAAAAATACTACAATAATACTAAAAGAGGGAGAGATTCCAATAAAATGACTAGGTCATATGATACACGTGTAATTTCCGTGTTTATGTTTGCATTTTTAATTACTTTTTGTTGTTTAGCATTTCGGAAATTACACACTTTCGGTGTAATAGTTTAATTTGTTAAAATCTTGTAAAATGTTTAGATTAGGTTTATTCTGAGCTCAAACAGGTCTACCATCACTCAAAGGACAGTTGGTGAACCCCAAAAGTAGAAGGAAGTTGCAAAATCACAAGACAAAAAGGGAAATCCTGATTTTGGTCTATACTCGGTCGAGTATCACCTATACTCGATCGGGTATCTGGTTGAAATTTCAAATCGGATCGGATCCGAAAACAAAGGAACATGCAGGAGAAGATTTTCCCACGATCGAGTGTCTATACCCGATCGGGTACACCGACATACTCGATCAGGTATAGCTATGAATTTTACTCGAATCTCGATCGAGTATGGACCGAATTCGAGTTTCTACACATACTCGATCGAGTATATGTATATACTCGATCGAGTACCCGACCTGCACCTCAAAAAGCCTATAAATACACCTCATTTCCTTCACTTTTATTCACCAATTCCTTTATACTCTTAAGCTCAGTTTAGAATAGAATCTTTCTATATTTCTTTTAGCATGTTTAGTCTCCAAATGAGGAGCTAAACTTCCATTTCTTGGTTTTGCTCTTGAAGCTTGTTGATTATTAAAGTTGTGAGTTATTTTCTTACTTTCTCCTCTTGATTATTAATTCTTCCCTTAATCTCATTCTATATTAATGTTGGAGGGTGGCTAAGTGACGATTAGTTAACGTTCCGACATTGATTATTACTAGAAACGATCAACGAACCGATGGTTAAACGTTGATGGTTTCACAAGTAAGTAACTTCGGTTTATTAATGCACGGTTGTGGTTAATAAACTTAAGAGGGATTAATTTTGTTGGTTAAACCAAAACCGTTGTGTTGAGGTTATCAATCTCAATTGATTTCATCAAGGAGTTAAAGAGGTTAAATGCTACTATCAAGTCGGTATATGGCGGTGTTCTATACTTGACTAATAGTAAGGGTTATTAATGAACGGTCGTTGTTAATAACTACCCTCGATGAATTGGAGATACTCCGCGATTGACTATTCGAGAGGGGATAAGTTATAGATATAACAATGATCGACTAAAATATATCAACAAGTGGAAAGTAGCAAGACCAAGTCCCTTTTATCATTGAATTTAATCTCATATAACTCGTTCATCTTCGTGTTTAATTTAATTAAATCATTCAACAATCAAAAACCCCCTTTATTTACTATTTACATAAAAATAAAGTTATTCCTTTCCCTGTGGATACGAACTCTACTTCACCTATACTACGTATAAGTGTTAGTATCGATTTATTTTGAGTGCACGCACGACAAAGTGCACGTCATCATACATTCAGAAATACATGATCTTTTAGTCATATATGTGATAATTTTCTCAAAATATAATTCCACTTCATTCATTTTAAATTTTTATAACTTGTTTTGTTTTGCATATTTTGAGGCCAAAATTTCTAATGTGCATATAGTGTCCGCATGATCGAGTTTCTTTTACTTTCCTAGGCAATATAATTGATTCTTCTGGACGTAATATCTCCCTTATATAATAAGCGCTACCTTCCGTTAGTATAGTTCTTTTTCCGTTAAACCAACGTCACATATTTAGCACCAACTTTTAGTCTTCCCCTTCTACCTTTCACTAAACCGGTACTCTTTGGAAATAGGAAGAATAGTTTTTATTAACTAATTTTTGTATCTCCTATACATGGTGTCGAGTCCCCCTATATATAACTAATACATACAAAATTGAGCCCTTAGCCCAAATAACACTAAATATGTACAAATAGACAAGGCCCGCTCTAATACATACCCCCCTCAAGTTGGAGCGTGGGATCAAACATGCCCAACTTGCGTAAAAGGTAATGAAATTGTCGTTTGCCGAGAGCCTTGGTAAAAATGTCTGCCAGCTGATCAGTAGTAGAAACATGTCTAGCCGAAATCAGACCCTCCTGCAACGCATCCCGTACATAATGACAGTCAACCTCAATGTGCTTGGTTCTTTCATGGAAAACGGGATTGTGAGCAATATGCAGTGCCGAACGATTATCACAGTATAATGGTATGGGCCGCGGATGAGGAATGCCAAAATGAGACAAGAGACCCTTCAGCCACTTTAATTCTGCAGTGATAGCCGCCATGGAACGATACTCAGCTTCGGTGGAGGAACGAGATACAGTATGTTGTTTCTTGGTTTTCCAAGAAATAGGAGAGCCGCCAAGAAAAACCAGCCAGCCTGAGAGAGATCGGCGAGTAAGTGGGCAGCTAGCCCAATCAGAATCACACCAACCCGTAAGAGTCAAATCACAAGAAGAACTCAGCATAATTCCTTGCCCGAAAGAACCTTTGAGGTATCGGACAACACGAAGAGCTGCCTGCCAGTGTTCGCGTCTCGGAGCCTGCATAAACTGAGATAAAATATGGACCGCATAGGCTAAATCCGGATGAGTGAAAGATAAATAGATAAGACGACCAACAAGCCGGCGATAAGACTCTAGGTCAGCCAATGGATCGCCCGTAGCAAGAGCCAAAGAATGATTCTGTTCCATGGGAAACAAATAGGGCTTAGCACCAAGAAGTCCTGCTTCAGTAATGACGTCCAAGATGTATTTACGTTGGCAAAGAAATATGCCATCGGCACTCCGGGCTACCTCAATACCAAGAAAGTATTTGAGAACGCCTAAATCCTTCATGTGAAAACAAGTATTCAAACATGATTTAAAGTGAGACAATGCTGCAGAGTTATTCCCTGCGATAATCAAATCATCCACATAGACAAGGACATGGAGCTGAACATCGCTCTTGCGCAAAGAAAAGAAAGAGTAATCAGAATAAGATTGTTCAAACCCGTAGTGTTTGAGAGAAGTGGCAAGCTTAGCAAACCAGCACCGTGGAGCTTGGCGAAGACCATATAGGGATTTCAGCAGACGGCATACAAGACCGCGCCGTTGTGGGGAAAAACCAGGAGGAGGTCGCATGTAGACCTCTTCCGCCAAATCGCCATGAAGAAAAGCATTATGGACATCCATCTAATGAAGTTCCCAGTTCCGGGCAGCAGCTATCGCCAAAAGGAGACGTACCGTAACCATTTTGGCCACCGGAGCAAACATTTCTGTATAATCAATGCCAGCTTCCTGGTGATTCCCGAACACAACCAGACGAGCTTTGAGGCGCTCAACGGTACCATCAGATTTGTATTTAATTTTATAGACCCATTTGCAGCCGAGTGCCTTTTTATCATGAGGTAGGGGCTCAATATTGTAACACCCCGGCCCCGCAGGACCCGAGGTAGTTACTCCGGACCTCTAGTACTGTCCTCACAAACCGCCACTAGCCTTTTCCGCGCACTTTGTCCTCACTCGTGCGCGCCCTGAGAAACTTCCCAGGGGGTCACCCATCCCAAGACTACTCCCGTGCGAGCACGCTTAACTTTGGAGTTCTTGGATAATGAGCTCCCTTAAAAGGAGATGCATCTTGTTTGTATGAGTAGTACTATTAATCCGTTTATATTAAATCTCAAGTGTTACAATCACCCCCACTTAGGATCGCAACGTCCTCGTTGCGCCCTTAAACCAATCTCAATCAAACCCCAGAATCTTTTCCCCTGCTAGGTGTCTACCCGATATCCAACGGATCAGCACACTGTCGCAGGGTTGCTTTGATACCACTTGTAACACCCCGGCCCCGCAGGACCCGAGGTAGTTACTCCGAACCTCTAGTACTGTCCTCACAAACCGCCACTAGCCTTTTCCGCGCACTTTGTCCTCACTCGTGCGCGCCCTGAGAAACTTCCCAGGGGGTCACCCATCCCAAGACTACTCCCGTGCGAGCACGCTTAACTTTGGAGTTCTTGGATAATGAGCTCCCTTAAAAGGAGATGCATCTTGTTTGTATGAGTAGTACTATTAATCCGTTTATATTAAATCTCAAGTGTTACAATTATTGTAATACCCGAGATTAATTTAAGAGGATTAATAGTACTACTCATACCAACAAGGTGCATCTCCTTTTAAGGGAGCTCATTAGCCAAGAACTCCAAAGTTAAGCGTGCTTGCACGGGAGTAGTCTTGGGATGGGTGACCCCCTGGGAAGTTTCTCAGGGCGCGCACAAG